AAAACATCCCAGAGGACGCACAATAGTTATAAGGCATTGATAAGGTACAGCTTGCATTGTTGTTGAGGTAACAAAGACATGATTGTCGGCGTGATACTAAGTGACGTCATACTGTTGACATTGTCTTGACACAGTTTCTAAACAAGATTCTACCTCAAGACGACACTGCTTCAGATAGGTTATAATTAAAGTTATTAGTTATGGATAAAAATTAGATGACTTTCTTGTGCACATCAAACAGATTTCTCAAACCCGCGTCACAATTCAGGAATTTCCCACGCCTTGAAACGTGATGTCGTACAACCCGCATGACACAGCCTCTCAGTACATGTGGACAATATCCCATGTATCAAATTGTTATGGCTCCAACTAATAATCACAATTTTCGCGTTCTGCTTAAGCACATAATCTAAGCAGGACCTACTTGTGCAATGTGCGTGAGTTAACCTATACAGTGTGTTCACAAATATATTACAAACAAATTTCGCTAAGACGTGACACTAATGTTTAGGCACAGATAATAACAGTGCACCAAGACACACCCATCCACCACCGAAACAGTTTTCCTACAAGAAGGTTGCTATTTACCCTTTCAAGGGGCAATATGTGAGCCCTGACAGATACAACCAATCATCCGCCAGTCACACATCGGGTCACGACAACTCGTCAACAAAGTCAACTCAGATCACACGGAAGATGACGAATCTCCTCATCTAACGCTACTCGAGTGTCAGTGTTCTGATCTATTCACCTGTGAAGGGAAGCGGATCTCTTCATCGTACACGCAGGGCAAATGTAGAGGGTGATCAGTCTTCGTGAGAACAAGCTGGCACTGATGGCGAAAACCAGCACGGGACCGGCCACGTGATATTCGGGGAAATCCCATGCTCGTATATAGCTGTGATATTGCTGCCATACCATGAAAGAAATGAAAACACAATTCACGCCAGTCTAAGTTTGAAGGGTCTATGGTTATTATTTGGTCGGAGAAACTCCTCACAACAGACTGGTGTTTTCAATGGTGGCTGTGATTGGGCTTCTCATCCTACAGTGCAGTGAGCTGCTCTATCACTTTCAGGGTTTTGTAGAGCATGTTTTTCAACTGCATTAACAGAGAGTTGCACCTGTCTACAAAATACCATTGCTTGTTGAATCGTTATGTGAGGAGAATAGTTCAAACATCCCCAGAAACCCGTTAATGAAATCCTCATTTTGGGTCAATGACACACTACCACACTCTGAATCTTTTCCTTACAGTCAACAACATTCTTGTATTGTGTTGAAGGTAAAGTTTGTAATGAACATTTGCCGAGCGGTGATGGTCCTGTATTCAACTGTATCTTTACAGATGCTTCATCAGTCAGCAGCACAATGTCACATTTCATCCCTTTCATAAAACGCATTCCGTAACGATAACCAGTGGTATTATGATCATAGAAGGCCATGTGTCTATTGATCACGGTCACTCGGCAGAACACGATGTAGATGGGAGTTTTCTTCTTCAACGACATTTAGTTTATATACAAGTCTGTTTCAGAAGCCCCATAACAAGCATTCACACATCATTTAATAGATGCAGCCTCTGAGAACGATGTTACCCCCTGTCAACTACGGTGAATGGCCATGATTGGGGGATGTGTCATGTGTTGGAAGACACGCACTCGACTCAGCAATAGACACATACGGAGAGATGTCAAATTCCTGAACAGGAGGGCACTCTAATTATGAAGCTCTTCGCAATACGAGCACCCGGAATGACTTCAAGGGTGCCTTCGAGAAGGATTTTCACAGTAAAACTATATTTCAGGTCAAGCTGATCTAATTTAGGGAAACAGGGATACGATTGTCATTATTATATTATACTAATAATAGGAAGAAACGCACAAACAGAAAGACCAACTTTTAGATAGGACAATGCGTGAAACCGTTTACGAATATATATAAATTATTGCTCGTCTATATTGATAGTTTATAGAATATATGTGTAATGTCATGTTACTTTAGTTTTAATGAATTAAGTGGGTTTGGGGAATTAAGTTTCTTTGTCGTGCTGTCGTGGGTTCGGATCCCATGGTTACCATAATAATGTTCCTTGGTTCGACAGCACCATACCCGTGTTCGTGGGTTTCATTAAAGTGTTAACGTGCTTCACTTCGATCTTTGTACGACAGTAAGCTGCCACGCCATGATGTACAATAGAGGCTAGAGCGACGTTAAACCCCAATACATTCACCACTCAAATACTAAAACTACCCGCTTACTATTCTGTCTGTACCCTCTCTACCTTTTAACAAAAAGATTAAATAATACAACTTCAAATACGACACGAAAACCAAATATTTACTGTGTGGTAAATTTATCGAGACTTCATTGATCGAGTTTCAATAGATTTAAATAAGAAAAAACATGTATCAACAAATATAGCACGATTAGCAAATGTTTAATCTGCGGTTTTTAAGTGCACAGTTCATTCATCAAACTCAACATAGTTAAATAACTGAGATATGTATCAAGTAAGATGAGCATCGCATACTCAAACTTTTAAGAAGTTCAGCAAACATACACAGTAACATTCAATGCGACCTGCAGAAGATAGCATTTCAACAAAGATAACGTCAATTCCACATTTTCAGGATACTGATTTTAATTAAGCGGATAAAGCATTCATCTCTTCCTGACTTGCTGCCAATCACAGACAGTAAAAAGCATTGTCGAGTTTCACCCTTGCTAAACTCAATAGGTAGCATTGAACTATGTACATCAATCGGGTATCCCTAATCCACTTGGGTGTTTTTTCTCCCATAGCCATGATGACATGTTGACTTCAATAGAGTTCATGTAGTATGGGAGGGGTGAGATCGTGACGTGGGGACTTCAATAGAGATCATGTAGTATGGGAGGGGTGAGATCGTGACGTGGTGACTTCAATAGAGTTCATGTAGTATGGGAGGGGTGAGATCGTGACGTGGTGACTTCAATAGAGTTCATGTAGTGTGGGAAGGGTGAGATCGTGACGTGGTGACTTCAGTAGAGTTCATGTAGTATGGGAAGGGTGAGATCGTGACGTGGTGACTTCAATAGAGTTCATGCAGTATGGGAGGGGTGAGATCGTGACGTGGTGACTTCAATAGAGTTCATGTAGTATGGGAGGGGTGAGATCGTGACGTGGGGACTTCAATAGAGTTCATGTAGTATGGGAAGGGTGAGATCGTGACGTGGAGACATCAATAGAGTTCATGTAGTATGGGAGGGGTGAGATCGTGACGTGGGGACTTCAATAGAGATCATGTAGTATGGGATGGGTGAGATCGTGACGTGGTGACTTCAATAGAGTTCATGTAGTATGGGAGGGGTGAGATCGTGACGTGGTGACTTCAATAGAGTTCATGAAGTATGGGAAGGGTGAGATCGTGACGTGGAGACTTCAATAGAGTTCATGCAGTATGGGATGGGTGAGATCGTGACGTGGAGACTTCAATAGAGTTCATGTAGTATGGGAGGGGTGAGATCGTGACGTGGTGACTTTAATACAGTTCATGTAGTATGGGAGGGGTGAGGTCGTGGCGTTGTGACTTCAATAGAGTTCATGTAGTATGGGAGGGGTGAGATCGTGACGTGGTTACTTCAATAGAGTTCATGTAGTATGGGAGGGCTGAGATCGTGACGTGGGGACAAGAGAGTAGCTAAATACACACAGTTCCCGTATTGTATTGCTTTGTCAAATATTTGATGACCTGTGTATTTACATATTTTGGAGTATATCGGAGTGCACTCATAAATTCACGTTGTCTGGGACGGGCCAAATGCTTTATTCTTTGCGACCCACAACACATGTGTGCAGGACATCCAGTGTCAACAATTAAAGGATAATGTTGAGAATATTGTTTCCCTGCAAGGAGGAAGGAAATGGAGAAACAGCATTGAAGTTTTTTGGCATGTCAGCTTAATGTGGGAGAGGGCGGTCGGGTAGCCTAGTGGTTAAAGCGTTCGCTCGTCACGCCGAAGACCCGGGTTCGATTCCCGACATGGGTACAATGTGTGAAGACCATTTCTGTTGTCCCCCGCCGTGATATTGCTGGAATATTGCTAAAAGCGGCGTAAAATCATAATCACTCACTCACTCAATTATGTGGGAGAAGGGAAGTGATGCAGGTCTTAGAGATTGCACACTTTAGTGCAACCCGGGAGAAACGGTAGAGTGCTGGAGTGAGTAAGTGAGTGAGTATGGTTTTACGCCGCTTTTAGCAATATTCCAGCAATAACACGGCGGGGGACACCAGAATGTACCCATGTCCGGAATCGAACCCAGGTCTTCGGCGTGACGAGCGAACGCTTAACCACTAGGCTACCCGACCTCCCCGGTAGAGTGCTGGAGAAATAAGAAACATAATGAGGGGGAATCAGGGATTGGAACCAACAAACTTAGGTTTCTGGTAGGTCTAAGGGACGAGAATTCGGCACCTTAGGTGACACAGCTACCTGTGTTCCCAGAAGTAGTCGATGTAGCGGTAGACGTAGTTGGAGAAGTACTATGAACTTGATTAGAAGTAGTAGTAGCAGCAGTAGTAGTAGTAAGAGGGTAGGTAGCAACAGCAACAGCAACAGTAGTAGTGGTAGTGGTAGTGGTAGTAGTAGTAGTAGTAGCAGCAGCAGCACTAATAGTAGTAGTAGCAGCAGCAGCAACAGTAGTAGTAGTAGTAGTAGCAGCAGCAACAGTAGTAGTAGTAGAAGTAATAGTAGTAGTGGTAGACATTGTATTAGTCGTAGCAACCCCAGCAGCAACAGTAGTAGTAGTAGTAGTAGTGGTAGTAGTAGCAGTAGTAGTAGTAGTAATAGTAGTAGTAGAAGTAGTAGTAGTAGTAGTAGTAGTAGTAGTAGTAGTAGTAGTAGTAGTAGTAGTAGTAGTTGTTGTAGTAGAAGTAGTAGTAGTAGTAGTAACAGCAGAACACTAACTTAAATCAATCGACACACGCAGTAATGGCTACATCAGAAGAACCTACCTTCAAGCGACTGGAAAATCTCATCCGGATGAAGTATCCACCAGTTCCTTGGTTGACAGACATAATTCACCCGGACGGCCATTGTCACGGCGCAGACGACCCATGGTGATAAACGCGGGAAAATATCCTCTGCCCCTGTGACGTCGCCGACATCAGACAAGGACGGGTTCAAATTGACATCCAATTTGGGCGTCGTTTTGCTTGTTAGTCCGCCGTGTTTTCCATTTGACTGCAATCGGTTCCTCTCCCGTCGATGTACTCGTTGTTTCATTGTCTTGTCATCCGATACTCAAGTCTGAAAGTTGGACTATGAAGTCCCTGTCTTCACATCCTTCCAAGGCGTGTACCTGTAGAATATCAACAGAAACAGGTAACTATCTGTTTACGTTGCTCGATGCACGACAGGAAACACGCTCATGAATACACACTGTTGGATTGTCACCATGGAAATCTGACATTATGAGTGTTAATGTTGTAGGCTGCAGCGCACTTCTCACAGGGACACATTGATCCGCCTGACAAAGACTTCATTATGGCAACATCCGGTAACTATCATTCATCCGGAACTCTATAATGTGTAAGGTTTAGGAAAGGTTAGGTGAAATGCGGTTTGACGCCGCGTTCAAGATTATTGCATTTAGCGACGTGCATGTGTGGCAAGCAGCTTATACTAGTCCGGACAAATGCCAATATTATAGTGCTAGCCTACTGAGATACCATCCCGCAGTTTGCCATGCATACCCAACTCAGACACAGTATACTGTCTCTGAGCCGACAGCTATTTGTGTGACGCGGCCGGGGATCGAACCACCGACCTTCCGCTCTCAGAGCAGACACTCTATCCACTACACGTTTGGAGCAGATGCCACAATCTAATCATAACAGTCAGCAGGCACGAGTAGGCAGCATCCTCCCATCATGAACCACCGGAACACTTTCTGGCTAACTTTAGAGTATATTGGTAAAACTGTCCTTACTGAAATGTTTCAGTGTGCTGAATTTGGATCTTTTACAGATTTCTACACTAACCCCGTCTCCAGCCACCACGACTGACATGATTCATTGAGTGAGTGAGTGAGTGAGTGAGTGAGTGAGTGAGTGATTTAGTGAGTCTACAGTCCACCTTTAGTGAGAGCCGACTAAGATGAGTGAGTGAGTAAATGTTGTATAGCGCCGCAGACATCATTATTCCATCTGTGTGTGGTCGTTAAGTCTAGTCCTTCCAGGCTATCAACCACACATCCTGATTCGTACCATGTACACGCCTCAGTTATATATTATCTTGAAGAGCCATTTTGAATTCTGAAGCTTTATCAATTTCAACGTCTTTATTCTTTTAAGGCGGCTTTTCGGCACATTTGCTAGTACCTTTATCTAAGAGTAACGAATTGTCGCAGTGAAAGCATAAATATGTATCGGTCTTACATACCACACTTTTTTTATTTTATTTTGTCTTTGGAAAAATGTCCTGAGGCCTTCATGTAAATAAACGTCTTGTTCTCCTGTCGCTTCATATGGCTATGAACTGACAGTACACCCGTCTTGGTTTACGATCGTATGTTAATACCTCGTCATTGTTAAGTTATTCAAATGACTCCAGTTAATGGGATATTTTTGTGGAGTTACCCAATAGCACAATACAGTTAAATGAATCTTCGGGAGACGCCCATTGACAGCGTGAACAACACAGCTGCTTGACTAGACGCACTAACCCATCATATTTTCTTGGTTCACACTGTGGCCAAATACTGTTACAAGTTTGAAAATAGGCCACTGGGGGTATAAAGATTTAATTATAAATTTAAACCTTTCATTTATGGTCATGTCTAAGCCACACAAAGATTTTTTGTGTGTTCAGTGGAAACAGCGACGAAGTGGCGTAGGGGCTTTCTGGGTGTTATTTAATTATGAAGTATAGAATCCTACGGTTAAAACGAACTCAAAGGGACTACTATGTTTAGTTCGATATAACCGTAGTTCGTTATAAGCATATATACAGCATAACTACAGCAAATAGTCAGGGACTAAAAAGTTGGTTCGTTATATCCGTCAGTTCGTTGTAAGCGTGTTCGTTATAACCGTAGTTTACTGTATAGTCAAACGTAGACATAAAGGTTCTCACATATTTTTCAGCTTATTGTGAATGTTACCAAGCTAAGGGTGTTGTCGTTCTCCTTAAAAATAAGAACTACTTTAAGACATTAATTATAAGAGACTACGAACTGTAATGTTGTCGAGTACACACAATTTACAGATAACACTTTCTTTATTATACTGGTCGTGAAAGTATAATAAAGAAGTTGTTATCCATAATTTGTATCTACTTTGTCATCCGCCAACCTCTAAGAAATGCCTTTCAAACAAATGTTGTCAAGTTTTATGAAATCATTTTGAAATTATAACAACGTTTTGTAAGTCGGAACAGATAGGGCAGATTTATTATTATTAAATCCTCACGAAAGGTTTCTACACACAAAGGGAATCACCAGTAGCTTAATCTGAGCCGTCAAGAGGGTCATCTGTCAAACTGCTGACACGAGGCTTCTTGACTCTGAAGACCCTTTCACCGTGATGACTCAGTCAGTCCTGTCAGGATACACAGCACCGTAATCGATCTTATATTAATGCATAGCAGTAAAGGAACCGACAGCTCCACTCATAAAAGCAGATGTTCATATAACTATTTGTTTTCATACAGCCAATGCCCGCCCATAAGCACATGTTCGTACATAAGCACACTCATGTTCAAACATAAGCACACTCATGTTCTAACATAAACACATCTCTCATATAAACTCATATATCGAGATGCGTCCTCACAATATCAGCTCTCACGAGTGATGATGTACAGTTGCCTGGATGAATGTTCTACAGGTATTTGTGAATTGTTTTCCGTCACAGCAGTAACGACGTATCACGGTGAAAACGTGACCAGACTGCAGTATAACAATATACTGGAAGTAAATCAGCTGGTGATGAATAATGTAGGGAGACCTGATCAAGTATACAATATTCGTCTATTGTAACTGGCACGGCTGTGTGACAAGAATAGTATCATGTACTCTTCACAGCGGCCTATATTTCCAGTCTCAACAATGAATAAACTTTACTGTACAGTACCACTCCTGTCGGTGAGCTCTGTTTCAAGGGTAAACATGCATATGATAATGACAAGCATGTACATAACGTATAATAATTGCAGATCCCTGGTAATTTTAGTGTGGTGTGGCGTGTGGTGTGGTGTGGTGTGGCGTGGCGTGGCGTGGCGTGGCGTGGCGTGGCGTGGCGTGTGGTGTGGTGTGGTGTGGTGTGGTGTGGTGTGGTGTGGTGTGGTGTGGTGTGCGGTGGTGTGCGGTGGTGTGGTGTGCGGTGGTGTGGAGTGCTGTGCGGTGGTGTGCTGCGGTGTGTGTGTGTGTTTGTGTGTGTGTCTGTGTGTGTGCGGTGCGGTGCGGTGCGGTGCGGTGCGGTGCGGTGCGGTTCGGTGCGGTTCCGTGCGGTGCGGTGTGTTGTAAGAGGTGGTAATTGTTTCAGGAGGGACTTGATTCGATAGTTATCATGACAACAACGAAATAGTTGATGTATAAACGAATTTGTCAAATATGTGTTAAATAAAAGCATACTTCTGTAAAAGTAACAAAAATACCTCGATCTCCCAATTACAGTTTCACTACCTGTAATCAAGATTGTTTGAAAACGTATACACTACTTGACGCAAACATGGAATATCGAGAATTCCAAGCATTGTAAAAACTGCAGTGAGTACAATTTGTCTGTAACATATATCGTGTCTATCCTGACAGTGACTGATTAAAGCATGGAATATGTCGCAACCAGGTGAGAGAGTTTACCTGGAAACATCCGTTCCTTGAGCGTCTGACTGCGTGACTAATTAAAGCATGTAATATGTCACAGCCATGTGAAAGGGTTTACCTGAAAACATCCTTACCTGAGCGTCAGTCACTGATAATGTCATACGCCATATTGCTCCCCGAGGACCAGACACAACACACGGGGATTGAGACCAGCACAAACGAATGAAGTCCAATTTATACAGATGTCTTGTGTACACCTTCACAACAGCGCAATAAATGTGTTAACCCTTTCAGTGACAGGTGATCGACGGATCAGTTTAACAAAGGGGTAGAGTATGATATGTCTTGAACGCACCCTTGTTTAAAGGGGAGCGTTTTAACCCAACAAAAAAAGAAATATACAGATTAGAATAACAGTGCTCTCTTGTGCAACTGTACTGGCTAAACTGAAGTTGAACTTCAAAGTTAGTAGACCATGCATAGTAAAATACTCCTTCGTCCAACCCTGCAAATGCCTGCTGGCATGCAGTTCAATTTGCTGGTTCTTGTCTATGAATGTCTAAGGTGGGAAAGAACAATGCTCATGATTCGTTCATGCACGTGTCCAATGGAGATAATGAGCACAGCTCTGTGTGTGTGTGTGTGCGTGTGTGCGTGTGCGTGTGCGTGTGCGTGTGCGTATGTGTTAGTAAGGACTAATGCCCATTTTATAGTGCTAGCCCACTGAAATACGATGTCGTAGTTTAACATGAATACCCCACTGAGACACAGTGTACTGACTCCGAGGCGACCAGTCTTTGTGCCATCTTCAAACGTCTTTTGGTATGACGCCGCCGGGGATCGAACCCCGGCCCGGACCTTCCGCTCTCCGGGCGGACGCTCTACCAGTACACCACGGAGGCGGTCAAATGTTCATGAAATCTCGTAAAATCCGAACTCGTGCTTTATAAAGAGCTCAACCTGGTGCATCGCTGAGGGGACATTTGGTCCATGATGGTAACCTTCCACGCGAATCATCCTCTCCGAAACCACCTCATCTCGACACTGTATTGATCGATTACATGCGGTGAGCGAGTTAGTTTCCACATAAAAGTAAACATTGAGACACCATTGATTGATTCACCTTAGCATTTTACCAATGATATGGAACGTATATGTCATTACGAGCGAATGATTTCAAGACTTGATCTCCACTCATCTCTTAATATACGTGACTACTTACTTTAAGGTGAAGAAGGGGGAAAACAAGTTAATCAATCTCAAAACAAAAATATATAATGAAACAAAAAAATATATTTTTATATATATATTTATCTTCTTATGCCGATATGTGTGTTTGTGGTTGCTGACACAAGCCCCGATGCTAGACATTGGTAGCTCTACAGACATACGGACTTGCCCAAACAAGGGCACATGTATCAAATACCATCAGAGCAGTTCTTCACGCGTGATGTCAAACAGTCGACCCAGCAACCGTAGCACAAACAACATCTTAATAGGTTCAGAGGGCGTTATGTTAAAGGCGGTAAGGACCCGTGAAGGGAAAGAATAGGTCTTCAGCAACCCATGCTTACCGTAAGAGGCGACTATGCTTATCGTAAGAGGCGACTATGCTTACCGTAAGAGGCGACTATGCTTATCGTAAGAGGCGACTATGCTTATCGTAAGAGGCGACTATGCTTATCGTAAGAGGCGACTATGCTTATCGTAAGAGGCGACTATGCGTATCGTAAGAGGCGACTAACGGGATCCGGTGGTCAGGTTGACTTGGTTGATGGATGCCATCGTATCCGAATTGCGAAGATCGATGCTCATGACGTCAAGCATTGGATTGTCTGGTCCAGACCCGATTATTTACAGACCGCCGTCAAATAACTGGAATATTGCTGAGTGCGGCTTTTAACAACAAACAAACAAACAAACATATGCGGTAAGATATTGGAAACATCAAAGGCATCACATCACAGCAGGTGTTTTATTATCTGGACAAGAAAAACCAAAACATCTTTGTTCATCGGCCTTAATTATTAAACGTAACGTACTGGTACAAATTCAAAATGCAAACATATGAATCGACTCATAATGATTACAAAGCATTCTTTATTGAGATGGGACGTGCATATTTCTCATGAAGTCAGAAAAGCGTGAAGCCGAAATCCTTAACACGTGAATCATCCAGAAGATATTCAGGTATCTTCCAATTGTCCAAAGCAACAGTGATGGGTAATTGTGTCTTCCCCATCTCCCGGTCATATTGTATTAATACATTCCTAGCGTCTTTACAATCCTGTACTGATATGTACATGTATTCATCACACGTGCGGCGGTTATTACACCCCAGGAACCCATGGCAACAAAACCTCCTTTGTGTTGCCTCATCCCTTGTAGGAAATCTTTAAACATTAGTAATATGATGACAAGCGTCGCTGCTACGTTAATGTATGATTGCCTGGACAACCCCTCTGTGGTGTGATGAGAGCGGAAAGTCGGTGGTTCGATCCCATGCAACGTCATGTCAAAATACGTTAAGAGATGATACTTGTTGTTACCCTACAAATCAAATACACTAGACCCTCATTAATCCGGACTCTGTTTATATGGACACCCGTCCTCCGGTTGCTTTCGGTTCAGAAGTTGCATTTGTTTACACATGACGTTTACCTCTTGATTCTTTCATACAGAAAAGGTTAATCAGATCAATTTCACTTGAAACAGTACCGTCCTGATTAACAGGATTCCACTTTATCAAAAGTCGTTAATGAGACCGATCATCGACGTCACATGCTAATACTGTTGATTGTTTCACACTGACTGCTTCCTGATGCTTCATAGTAAGGTAAAAAATGACATTAAAATCATAAAACATTTACTAGGAACAACTCGATAATGCCCGTGTCACTTTCCCCATGGCTGAACCAGCTGGGACACAATGACATCTTGTCTGCTGAAGCTGTCTGGTGCCTAGAAGAGTCACCATCATGAGATGTAATGGTTCAAAATCATATCTGCATGCATCATTTCATGAAGGGTTCATAAAGCATAACAAATGCTATGACGATGACAAAGGAATGTTCCATAACTGATTAAGCAATCACCAGGGGACGTATCGATTGTGTTGAGAACATAATGCGTCTTTACCCGCGACGTGTTAACGCTTCAATATTTGTCTTCAATCAGTCACGAGTTTGGCTCGTTATCGTTCAATATGCATCGCTGTTTGTATCACAACCGGCAACCAGTAGGATGGGTATATCAACGCGCTGTTTATGGAAACCAGTCTACTTGATTGATTGATTGATGATTCAAAACAATTGCTGAATGCCATCAACAAGATATGCATTGCTTCAAGCGAAAATAATGGACGTGTTGGATCGTGTTGTACCCCACGGCGAGTGGAACTAGTTGCATTTACACATACAGCGAAAGAAGCATATATTGGTGTCATTATGTCTATAACAAACACATGTTAATGTGCCTTCAAACGGTGATATGTCCATTGGCACACAGGCGGGTTTAGCTGTGGGACCGCGCACACAGAGGGGTTTATCTGTGAGCCTGACTGAGCACACAGAGACGGGGCTTGGCTGTGGGACCGCACACACGGACGAAGTTTAGCTGTGGGACCGCACACACAGACGGGGTTTAGATGTCGGACCGCACACACAGACGGGGTTAAGCTGTGGGGCCGCACACACGGACGAGGTTTAGCTGTGGGACCGCACACACAGACGGGGTTTAGCTGTGGGACCACACACACAGACGGGGTTTAGATGTGGGACCGCACACACAGACGGGGTTAAGCTGTTGGACCGCACACACGGACGGGGTTTAGCTGTGGGACCGCACACACAGGCAGGGTTTAGCTGTGGGACCGCACACACAGACGGGGTTAGCTATGGGACCTCAAACACAGACGGGTTTAGCTGTGAACCAGACTGAGCACACAGAGACGAGGTTTAGCTGTGGGACCTCACACACAGACGAAGTTTAGCTATGGGACCTCACACACATACAGGGTATGGCTGTGGGACATCACACACAGACAGGGTTTAGCTGTGAGAACGCACACACAGACAGGGTATACCTGTGGGACCGCACAGACAGACAGGGTTTAGCTGTGAGAACGCACACACAGACGGGGTTTAGCTGTGGGATCGCACACACATACAGGGTATGGCTGTATATGGTCTATAATGATCTTTGAGAGAGTTATATCCTAACTGATGGTGTTTCAGCTATAACGGAAACGATGCCGTTTTGCCGAAGTGCCGTTTTAATCTCCACCCAATTGATCAAGTCGTATGGTATGTAAATATAATATATACCATTTCTTTCAAGGTACACTCTAATGCATGTGAGCTGTGAGAATAATATAACCCTGTTAACTTAGAATTATATTGATTCGTTAAAACAAAAACAAAATGACCAGTGCGTATACTGCTAACACATGCTGGAGACCGCTTCACTGGTATAATTAGAGTTGTTTGTGTATATTTGTTATTAAACAGGAACACTACAATTGACACAATGTAACCACCTATGAACAAAGACAACAAATATAATCCATCCCCAAAAATACAAACTTTGTTTTCTGGAATTCGCATATTAATGAAATAAAAAAGAGAGGTTCTATGCAGAATAGTTACATTATAGGATCTAAATAAACAATTTCGCAATTTTTTTATGGTGCTGGATATCACATGATCATATATTCCAACACATCAATGAGCCTACCTGTGACAGTCTTCCTTTGTGTTGTTATCCACGATGCTACTCCCGACTTTGGAATCGACAGCCACGTAAAGTCGGTCAACTGTCACCAAATGAGGCCAAGTTCCTGTTACAAACAGACCACAGGAATACCTAGCTGTAAAAACAAGATCCTTAGAATTCGAAGTACATTCCACCGAATCCGCTGCCACACCTGACGAGCGTAAAAGTAGACTGATCTTCTTATCACCCGCTCCACTGATTGTCGTCTGCTCCCAGCAACTGTCGTCTGCCCCGCGGGATGATGGGCGGACGGCTAGTGTTGGGTGTCGCTGCGGGCTACTTTGACCTCACGATAGGAGATGGGTAAGAACAAAACCCGGCGTTTTCCTATTGTGTCCTGGGTACAGCTTGTTTGCCTGATTCCTTCATTCTCTCGACGGGTGTCGATTTCCACTCGGGCAGGGTGCTGAGTGTTTGCTCAGAGATATAAAGATTTGTTTGACGGTTGAATGTATGTTGTGTGGATGCAGTTAAATACAACATGTGATAACATAGTGTGAATCACAATACACCCCGGGTAGTCATTGTCTTTTACCTTAAGTGACGGTTGCCTGATGGCGCAATTAGCGCTTATATGTTATTTAGTTATTTCAGGGCGTTATACATTTTAGCACATTTATCTGCTAATTCTTTTCGAGCTAGCGACTTTCTAAGTTGGTAAATGGAAGTGACCACTCGTTGACACGTTTTGTTAATGTTAGCTTCAATATATGATACTTCAATAAACGGGGACTAGACTCGGACTAAATGTCAACCCCAATACGTTTGGTTTAAGCAGGGTGTCCATTTATACATCAGTTAGCCAAGACTAGTCATTAAAGTAATTAAAGTTTCTACAAACTCAAACAACACGAGAATATTTTGTACAGAATATATGGGGCTTCAAAAAGAGGAACAAGACAGCCCCTGTACGTTCTGTTCAAACTAACAGTCGATATACACGCAGTTATCCAAGAAACGTCATTAAAGTCATTAAAACTTTTGTTTTTCTAAAAACTGAAACATTACGATGAATATCGAGCTCACATTAACTGATCCCCGTGATTCCCGTGATTCCCGTGATTAGTTAGAGAAACAGTCTCAGCTTCACACGGACACTGAGTACAACATGTAGACCTGGATATGGGCCTCGGGATGAAGAGTCGAGGAGGCGATGGAGCATCGCATAGGTTTTAACATGCAAATAGGCAATAACAGCTTAATGTTATAACGCACAATGTATATACTTATATAAGAATGGAGATAAAGAGTGTCATTGTCGAACGCCTAGCAGCTGTCACGTGAAGCCCAACGATGCATTTCCTCGTCTTTTTGTGCAAACAATAGCAGCAGTTAGCTATTAAATATCATTTATTTTATCTTAAGCGAGGAAACAGGAAACAGGTGGCCAGAGCAACCTGATGGAAAAAAAGTTGCTTCGTTATTTAGCTTTAGTTCTGCATCCTCATTTGAAACTATTACAACACAATACATTTACTCGAGAGGGTGAGGAGCACTGTCTGTTTGCATTGCAAACAGATAACAGCTTAAAGGGTTTCTTTTCTATAACACACAAGGTATTAGCTGATATTAGAATGGAGAGAAAGAGCATCACTGTCGTACACTGTCATACACCTTGCACCTTGCTCTATCATGCGCTTCCTCGTCTGTTTGTTCATACAACAACAGTCAGATAACAATTAAATAGCATTACATTACTTATGGGCCACATGCTAATTGACCAGTGCCCTCCAACATAGCTTGGACGATTATGAGTAATTTTTCATGTTAAACGGAAGGTACCTATAAAACATAATCGTGAAAGATGCAAATAAAGATTACACAGATCAGCACAATTGTGGATAGAATACGAAACTATAAATATCACCAAGAACATGGATGGAATCAGAAGGCACTGGTCGTTGGCTGCGCTAAATTACATTACATCCTGTACAAATCCCTAAGTCGTGCGACCGCCTTCGTGGTCTGTTGCTAGAGCGTCCGCCTGGAAAGCGGAAGGTCCAGGGTTCTATCCCCGGCCGCGTCATACCAAAGGACGTTAATAGATGGTACTTGTTGTTACCCTGTCTGGCGCTCGGCATTAAGAGGCTAAAACAAGGACTGGTCGACTCGGAGTGAGTATACTGTGTCCGGAGGGGGTATTCATGGTAAACTGCGGCATGGTATCTCAGTGTGCTGGCACTGGAATCGGCATCAGTCCGGACTAGTACAAGCAGCCACATATACATACGTGCATGCACGTCGCTATATAAGTGCAATAATCTTGGACGCGACGTTGAACCCCATTTCACTTCACCTCACCCTAAGCCGTGCTTAGCGTCACGTACGTTGTTTTTATCCGCATCATTAATCTATTTCTTCTACGACACAGTGATACGACAAGACACACATGTATATAAGTATTGTGACGTCATCGTATTGTTCTACATTGTGTGTCTGTTTTCCGGATATTAATACATCTTGAACAACCAAACACCCCAACATGCAAATGTGTGAGGCAATTCCGAAAATCTGGACGAGGCAAACTTGCACGTGCAACCTCTCATTGAAACAAGGGGTCATAGGTTGCTCATGCTTTCCATATCAGTTGAATTATTTATGTCCGAGATTCGCACCCTCGTGCATTATTTTCACTTACACACCCTTCTCGGTCTTTCTGACAGACACACATAGCCAGGAGCCATAGATTATACACTTGAAAGACCCCATCGTATTATAACCTAGGTTGCCTATGTTATACGTCTCGCGCTGTGAGCAGAATGGCAGACTCCGTAGTAGTTGGACCTTTGCCTGTACTGAGCATCTCCCCTGAGCCACCCTCACAGCCTCCACAACACGTCACCACAACGCTGTTATATGTACACAGGCACATGTGAGGTATATGTACACATACGAGATAGATGTACACAGGAACATTCGAGATAGCAGGTTACCTTACAGACTTTACCTGGTACACTTACCAGCAGGTTACCTTAGAGACTTTACCTGGTACACCCTACCAGCAGGTTATCTTACAGACTTTACCTGATGCACCCTACCAGCAGGTTATCTTATAGACTTTACCTGGTACACTTACCAGCAGGTTACCTTAGAGACTTTACCTGGTACACCCTACCAGCAGGTTATCTTACAGACTTTACCTGGTGCACCCTACCAGCAGGTTATCTTATAGACTTTACCTTGTGCACCTTACCAGCAGGTTATCTTATAGACTTTACCTGGTGCACCTTACCAGCAGATTGCCTAACAGACTTTACCTTGTGCATCTTACCAGCAGGTTGCCTCATAGACTTTACCTGTCGCGCCATTGTAACATGATGAATTCGAAATTTAAAGAGAGATTATATTGAATAGATATTGTAGGTGGTGCTCAACTGTTTCAAACGGAAATTCTGGTTCAGGTTGATGCTTCCGGTTCTATGGAACTGGCGGGACCTGTTTGTTCAAATAGGCAACAGAAAGGGTGCTGCATATTGTTAAACAATATCAACATTTTACGAGTGCTTCGTGCAACGTCGCACTAGAAAGTTGTCATTAACACACGCAACGTGGTCCTGTGCACAACATTTAGGCCACAGATTAAGCACAGGTACTCACTGCGGATAGTGGGTGGATGGGTACTTTCGCTCGGCCACAACCAATGCACCTCACACGCTCAGAGATCACCACCAATTCACCTCACATGACCAGAGATCACAACCAATGCACGTCGCATGGCCAGAGATCACCACCATTCACCTCACATGACCAGAGATCACAACCAATGCACGTCACATGACCAGAGATCATCACAGTGCTCCTCACATGACCAGAGATCACCACAGTGCACGTCACATGACCAGAGATCACCACCAGTGCACCTCACATGACCAGAGATCATCACCAATGCACCTCACGTGACCAGAGATCACCACCAGTGCACCTCACATGACCAGAGATCACCACCAATGCACCTCACGTGACCAGAGATCACCACCAGTGCACCTCACATGACCAGAGATCACCACCAATGCACGTAACATGACCAGAGATCACCACAGTGCTCCTCACATGACCAGAGATCACCACCAGTGCACCTCACATGACCAGAGATCACCACCAATGCACGTCACATGACCAGAGATCACCACAAGTGCACGTCACACGACCAGAGATCACCACCAATGCACCTCACATGACCAGATTTCACCACAGTGCTCCTCACATGACCAGAGATCACCACCAGTGCATGTCACATGGCCAGAGATCACCACAGTGCACGTCACATGACCAGAGATCACCACAGTGCACGTCACATGACCAGAGATCACCACCAGTGCACCTCACATGACCAGAGATCAACACCAGTGCACGTCACATGACCAGAGATCACCACAGTGCACGTCACATGACCAGAGATCACCACCAGTGCACCTCACATGACCAGAGATCACCACCAGTGCACGTCACATGACCAGAGATCACCACAGTGCATGTCACATGGCCAAAGATCACCACAGTGCACCTCACGTGACCAGAGATCACCACAGTGCACGTCACATGACCAGAGATCGCCACCAGTGCACCACACACGACCACAGATCAACACTTATGCTCCCCACATAACAAAAAAATCGTGGCAATAGCTTAGTAAAATCTTTTGTACAGCGCATTTGCCTATCATATATAGAGCTAGTATTTATTTCCCAATATTTAGAAAATGCGACAGATTGAAGAAAAATTAACTGAGCATGTATTTTTTAAATGTATCTCGAACTACTCATACAATCAATGATTTACGAAAAACAACCATACAACTATACAACCAGAATGTTATACTGAAGAAACTCCTTTTCTGGATCTTGAAATGCGTGTTTATTGTGTAGTCATGCTGTGTTCACGCTTGACCAGAGGGACAAATGGGTCAAAGGAGAGAATATTGAATATTATTGCGAGCGGCAATCTGTAATTGTTTCTTGTCATGATATACAAAGCCACTAGCTACTCTGGAATGTATATCGACACACACGTCAAGGACACAACCTTGTGTCTAAAGTCCAAAGGCTAATAACCATGTTCCCAAGACATCACATTAATTTAAAGATGCTGATCCCATCTTTGTCAATCCCCTTTGTATTGTACATTCAGACACCCTAAATGAGCACCGATACATCAATGCCACTCCTCATTAATTACTGTTGTCGGGTTCGCCCTTAACCTCACAATGATTAGGCGAGGTGCTCCGGGGCAACAGCAATACACTCCTATCATTATAAACTGATTCGGAACAAAGTGCGTCTTGTAAATATATACCTGCATATATAGTAAATATCTGTAAACCGCAAACTAGCGACTTGATGCTGCTATTTCCAACCGAGTACCGTTAGTGACTGGGTGAGTATTATTTTAACCCGCTTTTAGCAATATTCCAGCAAAACTACTGCCCTTTA